ACGACTTGAACACCTAAATTTCAGCTTGTCCATATGGGAACAAAAACACAATTTTGAGCACTCCATGTGATAAACTCCTAACCATTTGTAGGAGTGTTTTGGTAAATAGGAGCTAGTTGTGCATATGGGGCCGACATAGTGGGGGTTGATACAGCTCCAGTCGCATACCCATAAGCAGATAAATCTCCTGAAGAAGATAAACACTTCTTCAGATTATAAGTGAAGGAATTATCTCATAATCTGGCGATATATGTTCCACCAAATATAATGTTGCACAGGATTGGCCGATGTTCAAGCAGAAACACAAGAAGCATGCATCACATAGGCAATGCACAAAGACGAGATTGGGCTAATTGATCACCATTAGCTCTGTTGCGCCTCCCAATCAACGCCTAACTCAATCTGAGTAAGACGAAATTGGTACTAATCAATTTAGTACTTCGCAAATTCATCACCACGTCCTCAAATTTTCTCGAAAAACTTGCAACAAAAAAGCATGAGCTATCAGATTTTTACAAACAAAAATCTACGATGTGAAGAGGAATTAAAAGTATTTGCTTGAACGCCATAGCATTTGCTCTCCATATTTGCAAACATATGTTCAATAATTCAAAGACTAAACAACGAAAGTGTGATGGCTTTTTATCAGATGCTTTGCAAAAAGTGACCGTGGTTTCTGATATACTATAGTAGAGGACAAGAGGAAGCAAGCAAATTTTCTTGGTAAAATGGCAGTCAGTAGAAAATGTTTTCTTTCAAACAGTAATCATTGGTACATGTAGCAAAAATGCCATAACCTTTCTTCAAACATCCTTAATTTACTTTCTTTCTTCCCCTTTCTTTTCATACGTATACCTCACATAGAAGGTTGAAAAGCTAGAGTATCTTTATTTACATGAAATTGAACATGTGAACAACATTTACATGTTTCAACATGTTCGGAGGCCATTCCTGTATCCTAGAAGGGTCATTTGAGTTTTGAATCTTCAAGCGTTAAACACGTTGATTTTCCCCAATGGATCAACCGAGGACGGAAAATGTGGGAAACGCGGAGGAAAACAAAGAGGTTTATGGGATTATGAGAGTGGTTACATGTCATGGTAGTGATCCCAAACGTTAAAGTAAAGCACCAAGAATAAGATTGAAAGTAGGATCATTCCCGTTATATTCAAATTAAAAAAAAGACTTTGAAAGAAAAGTTTTCCATGTTTCCTTCTCCCCTAAATTAGGTTGCAGTGTCTACGAAAAGAAATACAGGTTTTTTGATGCTCTTTCAAAATAGTTTGCCGAATATCTATAACTGAAAGTTGGCTAGGAATTCCTGTCAATAGATGCCAAAACTCACCCGTTGGTTGAGCTTGTTGTGCCTGCACTTGCATGGCAAGAAACTGTTGCTGCTGCGCTGCTTGCGCTTGAGCAAAATGTGCTTGCTGCAGTTGAGCTTGTTGAAGCTGAGCGATTGATTCAAGATTCTGCGCCTGAATCGGGGCTTGATGCAGTAGTGCAGCTGAAAGTGTAGTTGTTTCGGTTGTAAAAGCTAAAAAGTCAAAGAACATCAACCATATGTCATGCCCCTGAGGTTCGTGCATATTATTCGAACAAATCGCACTATGAAAATGCGCAACGCTTTAAGCTTGCCAAGTATTGTTAAAGCAAACAGAAAGTGATGGTAAACAGTAGTTGAAAGATGGGGTTAGGGATGCTAAGGTTACCCGCGGCCAGTACAGTCATCACAACATACCCAATAACAACAAACAATAACATAATTAAGGATAGATGTCATATTTCAAACTCAACTTTCGGACACATGCAAGATGGCAGCGAGGAAAGGCAGCACTAAGAAAGGCTTCAGCAAGGTGCAGAAACAAGTCGAGAGACTCGTTACACTACGCACCACCACGATTACGCCACGATGGATATGGTCGCAAGCGCCTGCCAGAATCTTCTAACTTCATTTTTGAAGAACCACAACAAATACACAAGGCACCGTAAATTTTGATAAAATCTATAACCTAGTCTTTATATCACTCTATAAACACCTTCCTAAAGCATACATCTTCCCATGTCATAGAGCAAGATACAATCTGATAGGATTCTGGCAGACGAGCGACCCGTTTTGAAACTAAGTCAATCACAGCAGTACTAGCATTCATCATGAGGTCACAATTACCTAGCTGTGCCTTGCCAGCAGCGCTGTGCCCGTTCTGCATTAGAGCAGAAGGGTTGGCACTTGCTGCACCGGCTGCGGATGTATTCACCGCGCCGGAACCCCCTTCCGTCAGCTTACCCAATGCCGATAGCACTAAAACTGTTTGTTGAATTTAAAACACTACGTTTCTAAATTGAATTAGTATGCAACACAAACCTCCGCCCAAAACTCCTAGCAGATTCTGCTGTTGAACTTGCACTCCCGGGTTAAACAATGCGGCAAGGGCCGTCAAAGCTTGCAGATTGATTCCGCCTCCGGAAAGCTGCAACAAACAAATCGCTTATCTCCTGTGAC